CATTGTATTTATCTATCAATATTTGTATATATATATATAAAATATATATATATATGCACATATATGTATGCATATATTTTTGTACATATACGTACATGTGCATGTACGTATATGTACCTTTATATGTATATGCATGGTTACCCATGCATATACATATAGAAACCATTCACAGTTATCAAGTTGGAACAGTAACTGGTACGTCAACTCCAGTCGTATGCTCAAGAACAGCGACCATACTGGCACATCAGTTGCTTAAAGTGTTCAAAAAGTTCCCTTATGGGGAACTGTGAGTGTCGTCTGGGTTTTAGGCATTTCTGGAGTCTGTGGCCACTCAACCAGCCAGTGCTGTCCACTTTAGATACGACTTGAGTTACATGTTTCTTGGTGTTATTACCCCTGTTTGTATCTTTCTCCATCCTGTTTCGGGCATCTGCAGAACAACCAGTCCCTCGGCCAGTGGGTCATGGCTCTGCTGAGAACAGCCACCACCCTGGCCTGTGGCTTACCAGCCAGCAGGTCCATAGGAAGCTTTGGCGTATGACTCTTACCACTCTCTGAGATCACACTCAGTATTTTTTTCACTCTTCAGCCTTTTTTTCCTGGTAACTATTTCTCCACTCATCCCTAAGGCACTTGTTCATTCCCATAATGGCTTTTTCTTGACACCCAAAGTGTCATTTCTAGGCTACCTTCCTGGTAGCAGATGGGTAGTCAGGATCATACCTAGATATTCCTCCATGTTGATTTCAACAAAACACATGCATAGCATTTCTTTCTTTGTTGCTTATCTAATTACTCACTCACTAAACTCTTTCTGGGCTGGAAGCCTCATTCAGATTTGTCAACTGGGAGCCAGGCCCTGGCATGATGCCTTAAACTTGGGCACCGTTTCCCTCCAAAAAGCAGGTTCCTGCTCCTGCTGTGAGCCCTGTCCCTGCCTACAAAGCCAATCCACTGCTGAGACGAGGGAAGGAGCGGCCAAGTGTTCTGAGTTCGGAAACATGAACAGTTCCTTTCAGTACTGAACCTGAGGTGGGGGAAGAAATGTTCCTAAGGCACCTCTCTGTGCTGCTCCGGCAGTGCGGGAATCTGCTGGTAATTTCGGCCTCCATTGCACAAAGCAGGCAGGGCAGGATGTGCAATGGAAAGGGAGGACGATACTAAAAAAGATGCCAAAAAATTAGAACCACAAAGGCAACCATGATAAAAGCAAGCTTAAGCAGCTGCTTCTACTTTTCCTGTCCTAAAAGTTTGCCCTGTGGATGCCCTGCTGGGAGGATTTCTCAACTTCAGGTCACCGTTCAGGATGAAAGGTTTTGACTTGTAGCTCTACAAGACAGTGCCAACAAAAGATGACTGTGAGGATGTTGCATGCAGAGAGGAGTGCTTGTCCAGGTTGCGTCCATTGAAAGCACTGTAGTCTTTGCAGATCAACAAAAAACGTGCATATTTTCTGAAAGCTTCATGGAGATGCTTTTTGAACTTCTCACCCACGAAGGCATAGATGACCGGGTTGAGGCAGCAGTGGATGAAGGAGAGTGCCTCAGCCAGCTCGATGGCTAGGTTTAGCCTTCGGCTTGTCTGACAGTCGTCAATTATGTACATGTTCCTCAGAGAGTCCAGAAAAAGCACAATGTTGATGGGGGTCCAGAAGAGGAAGAATACTATGACGACAATAAAAACCAGTTTCATTGCTTTGTACTTGTTCCGAGTATGGCACTTCTGCAGGTTTTTCAAGATGCTGTGGTAGCAGAAAATGAGGACACAAACAGGGATGAGCCACCCCAGGACATTGACTTCAAAATTACTGAAAATCCTCCAGCCATTGTTGCTCTCAGGATAGTGAGGGATGCACTTAGTCTGGTTATCGTAATTCGTTTCCTGGAAAAAAATTAAGTCTGGAACTGATGCTAAAATGGCGACTGCCCAAAGGACCAGGCTGGTGACAACCCCATGGGCAGTTGTCCGAACCTTCAGAGCATAGACAGACTGGACAATGGCCAAGTACCTGTCGACACTCATTATGGTTATGAAGAAGGCGCTGCTGTAGAAACCAATGAAGTAAGCTGAGCTGATGATTTTACACATCGCATTTCCAAAAGTCCACTGCTTTATAATGGAGTACTGAACCAAGAAGGGGAGGGAAAAAACAAAGAGGAGGTCAGAGATGGC